GCGGCACCACCCAAATCCATATTGTCGTTCTCGATGTCAATGACAACGTGCCCATCTTCACACAAAAGCTGTATGTTGGGCAGGTTTTGGAAAATGCCCCAGAGGGCTCTGTGGTTGTCAGCGTGGTGGCAACCGATCGGGATGCAGGACCTAATGGGGACATCACTTATGAATTCAGCCAAGCAGTGGGGCAGAGCAACTCCGCTTTCGGGATTGACCCTGTCAGTGGTGAAATTAAACTCACAATGCCTCTGGACTATGAGGCAGCAGAGAGTCACGAGCTCAGTGTGCGGGCCAGAGACGGCGGGGGACTGTCGGCAATCTGCAAGGTGTTGGTGGAGGTGGTGGATGTGAATGACAACGCACCGGAGCTGGTGGTGAGTTCCTTCAGCAGCTCCCTCCCCGAGAACGCGTTACCCGGGACGGTGGTGGCCCTCTTTGCTGTGAGGGACCGGGATGCCGGTGCCAACGGGCAGATCTCCTGTGCCCTTGAGGACCAGCTGTCGTTCTCCCTGCGGCCGGCCTATAAGAATTACTACGAGCTGGTGACTGTGAGCGAGCTGGACCGGGAGGAGACGGCTCGCTACGTCCTCCCTGTCACAGCAGCAGACGAGGGGTCGCCTCCTCTGACGACCACCCAGACCTTCACGGTGGCCATCTCCGATGTGAACGACAACGCGCCTGTCTTCAACGAGACGTCGTACACCATGTACGTGCGAGAGAACAATGTCCCCACGGTGTTGGTTGGAGCCGTGAGCGCCTGGGACGCTGACGTGGGGCCCAACGCCAAGGTGACCTATTCCGTGGCCCCAGCGCAGCCCGCAGAGCAGCCTCCCTGCTCCTGCCTCTCCATCAACTCAGAGAACGGGCACGTCTTTGTGCTGCGGCCCTTGGACTACGAGCAGGTGAGGCGGGTGGAGGTGTGGGTGATGGCCTCTGATGCGGGGACTCCTCCTCTGAGTGCCAATGTCACCATCCGCCTTGTTGTGGTGGATGAGAATGACAATGCGCCGCTGGTGCTGTACCCGGCCCAGGGCAGCAGCCCGGCGTCCAGCGAGCTGGTGCCCGTTTCGGCTGAGGCGGGCTACCTGGTCACCAAAGTGGTGGCCGTGGACGCTGACTCGGGTCAGAACTCGTGGCTCTCGTACCACCTGCTGAGGGCCACTGAGCCCGGGCTGTTTGCAGTGGGTGCCCAAAGCGGGGAGGTGCGGCTGAGGAGGCCCGTGACCGAGAGAGACGCCGTGAAGCAGAAGCTCGTCGTTGTGGTGCGAGACAACGGGCGGCCACCACTATCAGCCACGGCTGCGCTGAGCGCGCTCCTGCTCAGTGACTTCTCAGACGTGCGCGTCCCCCACAGCAGCCCGGCCACGGAGGACGACGACGGCTCCCTGACAACCTATTTAATCATTTCCTTGGTCTGCGTCTCACTCCTCTTCGTCGCGTCCGCCGCAGCCTTCATCACTCGCAAGGTGTGCAAGAGAAAGGAGCTGACGCCTGAGCGTGTGCTTTACGGCCCCAGCAACTTGCCGAGGGTCCCGGCTGATGCAGCCGCTGCGGGGACCCTGCCCCACGCCTATTGCTACGAGGTCAGCCTCACAACGGGCTCGGGCAGCAGCGAGTTCCAGTTCCTGAAGCCCATCCTCCCCAGCCTGCCGCCACAGCACCGTGCCACGGGGGGTGGCACCGATGAGGAGCTCCAGTTCCCCCATGGCCCTATGGCTGTGGAGGACACGGCACCGGGGGACCCAGGGACGCTCTCTGCCCAACACTCCCACAGTCTTGCCTTTAACTAGCTCGGAGGCAGCACGGCCAGAGGCTTCGTGCCCCATGACAGGAAGGGATGCGGGCTACTGCATGCGGCCGTGGTTCCTCCAGAGTAAAACTGCATTTGCGATTGGCATCACCAATTTCCCACAAATTTGAAGGGAGAAGAACTGTTGTTTCTCCATCCCAACCACAAACCAACAAGCCGAGCAAACCTATGCCTCCCTCGTGCTGGAAAGATTTTGTTTCCTCTTCCTGACAGATATTTCTGAAATTGTTTGAGAGTGGGATGACTTCCAAGTTCCCCCACTAAGCTTTTGTGTGACTCACTGTTAGGCAAGACCATGGAGCTCGAATTCTGTGTTGTAACGCACCGGTGTGCTCGGGCAGACCAATCGCCTGCTCGCTGCAATGCACGTAGCGCTGGTCACAGGCCAGAAAAGCAAGGAAGTTGTGAGTACTGTGTCCCAATGTGGTGCATGCACGGGGCTCGTTCTTCTCTTTCTCTCGGGTGTCCGTCTGGGAGGTGTGTGGGCTCTGTCTCTCTGTCTGTCCGTGCAGCCGTTGGGTGTGTGTAAATGCTGCGCTGGTGCTGCCCGGTGAAGCGGGGAGTTGCGCACATCAAACTGTTGCAATGTGCACAGTCCCAGCTCAGCGGGCACGGAGGGTCTATTGTCCCCTTGGCTAGAGAATCCACAACTTCCCTAAAGGAAAGCAGTAAAACACAGGAGCTGTCCCTTTGGGCCGTGAGAGGGGCTGGGTGGGTGGGCTGCCTGCTTGGGAGTGCCCTGGAAGTGCAGCAGCACCAAGGGTGTTGGCACAGGCTGTACCTGGACAGATCTGGGAATAGTTGTTGCTTTTCTATGGGTTCAACGAAAGTCCAGAAGTTGTTTCCAAGGGCTTGTCTGAAGGAAGTATCCAAACGAACTCAGAAATGGACTGTTGATTTTGACCACATCATTGTTGTTGTTCCCAAATTCAGAGGCTTCTTGATGGGAGTGGAAAGGTGTCCCAATAGGATTTTGTGCATTTGTGTTAGAGCATGTGCATTCTCCTTTTTACCCCTTCTCCTTTTACTCTTTGAACATTATTGAGCCTTGTGTTGCCTATTTTGCTTGAGAAGGACTGTCACCCCATATATAATACTTGATTGTTTGAATGAAGGCCGTGTGGCACGGGGTATTCAGAGACCCTCACGCTGTTATGTGGAGCAGTTATAAACTGCATCGTTGTAACCCGGGGTACCCTTGCATGTAAAAGTGAAATAAAGAGAACCCGTGAACGCTTTGTTTGGATACTTTGGTCCTTGGAGAGGTGTTCGTTCTGGGAATGCTCTGCCAAGGTTTTGAAAAGGCTGGAATTATTTTTCTCATTTTGTCCCTTGACATAGGTTGAGGTTGAGCAGGTGAATTGGTTCAGTGTGGAGACGTGTCCGATAGAGCATTTGGGGAAATTGTGGGGAGCAGGGAACTACTGCCAGGCCTCTGTGGGATTCTGAGCAGTGAGCTTCTGGCTGTGAGAGAGCCCAGTGAGCTCCAGGCCAGGGGAAAGTGTCCCCTGGGCTAAGAGGGGCCCTGAGTGTGCAAAGGCCTCTGCAAAGCAGGGAGGTGGGGACAGTGACCTTTCCAAGACTCCCGACAGCTCCAGCTGCGTGTAGCAACTCTGGGGTGTTTGAACACAAAGTCTTTTGATTCTAAAGGTTTTGGGGGGATGGATGGATGGATGGATGGATGGATGGATGGATGGATGGATGGATGGATGGATGGATGGATGGATGTCACCCAGGCCGAATTGATGTTCACTCCTGGAAATGTCTAGTTTAAAAGAAATGAATGCATCAGTGCATTTCTAGGTCTTCATCTGGTGAGCATTGGTTTACATTGGTAACCCCATTAGCAATCAAAAATAAGTTGGAAATATTTAAGTAATTGAAGAAAATATGAGAAAATTAAGGAGGTTAGTATATTTTCTATATAAATGTATATATAAATAGCATGCATACTTTTATATTAAAAGCAGAATTATAATTGCTTGAACCAAAAATAAGTACTGCAAACTGTAGGGATTTTCTATTTTATTTTATTTTATTTTATTTTATTATTTTATTTTATTTTTATTCTGTAAGAGGAGGACTGCTCTTGGAGGCAGCTGTGAGCCTCTCCAATACATTCCTTATGCATTTGCCGGAGCTCGCCCCTGGGTCCGCAGGAGCAGTCGCGATACACATCGATCCTCAGGGCCGGCAATGGGTGCCTGATCCTGGGATTTTATCCGGCCTCCGGCACGGATCCTGGCTCGCACTCTCAGGCCGTGCTCAGAACCCCTCGCTCTCCCCTCCCACCTCCCTTTCCCCATGGCTGTTCCTCCCAGCTCCACTCCTGACCTCTCCATTTACCGAGTTTGATCCTGCCTCTAATCATCCCATAAAAAACTTTGCATACTGCTAGAACCCCCCTCAAATATCTCGCAATCAATTTGCTCTTTCCTACAAGGCACTTGCAGATAATCCATGATACTTCTTCCCCCCCACCCGCCCCGCCCCGCCACCCCTCCTTATCGTTTACAAAATCGCTGGCTACAACTCTTGGAGTTTGCACTTGAACGGTTCCTTTAATGGCCCATCGGTCGGTGTCGTTAGATCCCTGGTCTTCGCTATTGTCTCCGTTAGCTCCTGCTCGTTAGCGTTTGTGTATCTGAGGGTTTAATTGACGAGCCCTCCTGCTCGTTTCCTTGCCCTTGGTATTAAATAGCTGTTGGCCGTGTATCTTTACACAGGTACAGCAGTTCGGGTTCGACTTCCCAGTACAGGCACCTTTCAAGTATTTCTATGTCTGTGTGGTAACATCAGAGGAGAAAGGACTGCGTCCCTCCAAAACACGAAAGCAGGTTGCAGCATTTCAGTGTTTGTTGTGGACGGCTGGGGACATTTTTCACGGCGCAAAGGGCAGCAGGCGGCAGGGAAGGATAATTCTGTTAAAGCCGTGTGCCCTTTGGGCGAGGTGTGATGCACAACGTGAAGAAAAGAACACTGGGATGATGTGGTGTACAACAGCATTATCATTCTGATGTGACAGTGAGCCAGGGCGATGGTGAAGCCTTTGCTTTCGGGACCTTTCCCTGGCGTCTGCTCTCGTTCAATAGCGGTGCTTCTCTGACCCGCCCAATTTGCTAATTGTGCTGTGCTCATTAAGAAGTGGAGAAGAGAGAGAAAATCCCTCAGCGCAGCCTGTGGAAGTGGCAGATCTTGCAATGCTTACCCAACACGGAGGAAGACCAACAGCTGTGTATGAAGAGTTCGCGACTGCGAGCTGGGAAGCGATAGCCCAGGGCAGCGCTCCGTTTGCGGGGCGGGAGCCTGCTTCCAAACGAAGAGAGCGTTTACACTGCGTCTTCCGGCTCCGCTTTGGCACGGAGGGTGCAGATTCAAGCAGCAAACTCCAAACCCGCTGCGCTGCCCCGAATGAGGAGGCAGAGGAACTATTCCCCCTCGCGACGCTGGGTGGGGGTGTTGGCCACGGAGCGGGAGGTTTCTCTGCCCGCTCCGGATTTGCCGGCACAGGGAGACAAAAAAAAAAGCCGCGTGAGCTGCTCGGGAAGGGCGGCGGGGCACGGAGCCGGGTTGCTCGGGGGCTTTCAGACCCCCTTACCCCGGGATTCCTGACAAACACCGCTCTGCCTCGGAAGCTACTTCAAAATGCCGGGAGCCACGGAGGACGGTGGATGGCTTTTCTGGAGAGGAATGGCGTGTGGGAGACGGAGCGGAGGCAGCAAGAGGCAAGTGAGCTTGTTTATTCTGTGCGTTTGCTTGTGTCAGAGCGGGGCCAAAACCCTCCGCTATTCCCTGGCGGAGGAAATGGAGAGGGACTCCTTTGTCGCCAATATTACAAACGACCTGGGGCTTGCTCCGAGCCAGCTTGCAGCTCGCAAGGCCCGTGTCGTGTCCGAGGGGAATGAGCAGCTTTTCCGCCTCAATGCAAACACCGGAGTCCTGACGATAAAGGAGTCGCTGGACCGAGAGGAGATCTGTCCGCAGAGCAAGACCTGCACACTCTTCTTTAAGATATTCTTTGAAAATCCGTTGCAGCTGATGCGAGGGGAAGTGGAGCTTCGTGACGTGAACGACAACTCCCCTGTGTTCCCGGAGAAGGAGATGGTTTTAGAGATTCCGGAAACGACACCTCCAGGGTCTCGTTTTCCTCTGGAAAGCGCCCAAGACAAGGACGTGGGCAGTAATGGTTTGCAGAACTATAGCCTCGAGTCCAATTCACATTTCTCTCTCACTCTCGGAACAGGGAAAGGTGGAGTAAAATACCCAGAGCTGGTCCTACAGCGGCAGCTGGACCGCGAAGAGCAGCAGGAGCTGAATTTACACCTCACCGCCACTGACGGGGGCTCGCCACCCAGGTCGGGCACGGCTCAGATCCACATCGTGGTGCTGGATGCCAATGACAACATCCCAGTCTTCAGCCGGGAGGTCTACGAGGTGCGGCTGGCCGAGAACAGCCCCCTGGGGCAGCTGGCGGTCAGAGTCACGGCCGTGGATCCCGACGAAGGGTCCAACGGGAAAGTGCGGTACGCCTTCAGCCAGACATGGGAGCAGTCGCGGCAGCTCTTCGAGCTGAACCCTGCCACCGGTGAGATACAAGTCACGGGTAACCTGGATTTCGAGAAAGCAGAAAACCATGAGATGTTGGTGAGAGCCACCGATGGCGGAGGGCTGTCTGCGCATTGCAAAGTGCAGGTGGAGGTCCTGGACGTGAATGACAACGCCCCTGAGATAGCGCTCACCTCCATCACTGCCTCCATTCCTGAGGACACCCCTCCCCGCACCGTGGTGTCCCTGTTCAGTGTGCGGGACCGGGACTCCGGGGACAACGGCAGGACGGAGTGCTCGATCAACGGAGACTTCCCCTTCAGTCTCACCCACACTTTTGATAATTACTACGAGCTGAGAACAAACACAGCGCTGGACAGGGAGAGGACAGCGGAGTATAACATCACCATCATAGCCACGGACTGGGGCATGTCACGGCTGAGCTCTGAAGAAACCATCTTTGTGCAGATATCAGATGTGAATGACAATCCCCCGGAGTTCACCCAGGAGGTTTACATCATGCCGGTTACGGAGAACAACAGCCCCATGCTGCGGATCGGCAGTGTGAACGCCACGGATGCCGATGCGGGGCAAAACGCCCACGTAAACTACGCGCTGGTGAGGCAGGAGGGCAAAGAACAGCCCGTGTCAGTCAACTCTGAAAACGGGGATGTTTATATCCTCCACCCACTGGACTATGAGGAGGTGCGCGCCTTCGAGGTGGTGGTGCGCGCTGCCGACGGGGGCTCGCCACCTCTCCGCGCTGAGGCGGTGCTGCGTGTGGTGGTGCGTGACGAGAACGACAACACGCCCGTCGTGCTGCACCCACCCCCCGGCAGCAGTGCGGTGGCGATGGGCGAGTTGGTGCCACGCTGGGCCCCGGAGGGCTACCTGGTGGCCAAGGTGGTGGCGGTGGACGCGGACGCGGGGCAGAACGCGTGGCTGTCGTACGAGCTGGCCAAGGCACCGGAGCCGGGGCTGTTCCACGTGGGGCTGCACAGCGGCGAGGTGCGCACGGCGCGGGCCGTGTCGGAGCGGGACGTGGCGCGGCAGAGGCTCGTTGTGCTGGTGCGAGACCGTGGGCAACCGCCACGCTCCGCCACCGCCACCCTGGACATCGCTCTGGTGCACGGCTTCTCCGATGCCCATTTGCAGGTGAGCGAGGAGGTGCCGGTGGCCGAGCCCGACGGGCGGCTCACCCTGTATCTCATCGCCTGCCTGGCCTGCGTATCGGCGCTGTTCCTCGCCACCGCGGTGGCCGCCTTGGTGGTCAAGTTGCGGCAGGCCAGGCAGAGGGAGGCGGAGACTTTACCCACGTTCCCACAGACTGCCACGGAGAGTGATGCGGGCTCCCTGCCCCGCAGCTACGTGTACGACGTCCGTTTTGCTGCTGGGACCGTCAACAGCGAGTTTCGGTTCCTCAGGCCCCTCTTTCCCTGCTTCCCCGCCGGGCTGCCCCCCGGCTCGGGCGAACAGCGGAGCTCGGTGTGCTCACAAGAGGCAACCAACCTCGGGGAAGAAGGCGACTGGGCTGCACAGGTGAGGGACCTGGCCGGGCCGAGGCGATGGGGGGAGCGGGGAGGGAGCAGTGTGGGGTGGGGGGTGCTCACCCCTGGCAGGAACAACTATCGATGTTGCAGAGCTAGTGTTGGAGGAGCTACTGGGGAGGGAGGAGAGGGTAGAGAGGGTTTCAGAGCCGCTGGCAGGGGCCTCCCAGGAGGATCCGGCACGGCCCTCTGCTCCCCAAGTGCTGACTAAGTGAGTCTGTATACATTCAGCTTTATCCCTTGCGTATTCATGTTAGGTCAAGTCTTGGGTGTCACCAAAAAGGGGGGCATCTGGGCTGTGAGAAGATGAGAAGGAGGGGTATGGATGTGTGAGCCGCACAGTGTGTCCTGTCCACGCACTGGGTAGAGCCCACAGGGACTCAGAGCAGGTGCCCTAGGGGCACATCCTCCCAGAGGCAGCAGCAGCGGAGTGCAGTGGTCCTGTCCAGAGTCAACTGGGGCTGCAGGGACAACAGTGCAAAGGGGTGTCACATCACTGACGCTGTCCCCTGCACTGCTGTTAGGAGCTGGTGCCGGACCCTGCCAAGTGCTGTTCAGCAGGGTGATGGCAGTGCTGAACTTAAGCTGTCTTCCAAGCTGCTGGAGGCCACGGAGGTGGGAACCTCTGCCATTAAATTCCCTTGTATTTTTGTGGCTTGCATGAACAGTGTTGGCCAGAAAAATGTGGTTATTGGGGCTTTACAAAGCACCGTCCCAGTCACTTCCTGACCCAGGCGCCGGGTGCTGCCGGACAGTACCAGCACTTCTCTTCTCAGTGCTGCTGTGAACCTAAAGTGAGTCATGTCTGAGGTGCCCTTCGAACTCCAGCTGTTCAAAGAGTGTGAGGGGGAAAAAAGGCAGTCATTGAAAGAGCTCCTTCTCTCCTCATGGGGTTCCTAGTTTCTGGGGGCCATCCAGCACGTCGTAAGAGTCTGGACGATGAACATATATGAGGCTGAAGACCTATAAACAACATCTTTTATGGTCACGCCACAACATTTTCGTATTTCACAACCACTGATGTCTTGGACTCACTCTACTGCAGGTTCACAGAACCGCAGCTGCAGTAGCCTCAAGGGAGACAAGGACCCATCCTGATACATCAACATTAAACCACCTTTACTCTTTTTGAGAAAGTGCTTTTTATTTTGGGCTCTTCCCATGTTAAATTACTCCCTCAGACTCACCGAAGCTTTGCAGTAGTGCCTTTGTGATGTCCTCAGTGGAGGATGGTTTGGGGGGTTAGATTTTCCGCGTTCAGGTCAGAGACCCACCTCCCGGTCTAACCTCCTCTTTGGCTCTGGGTAGAGAAGAGCGGTGACAGCCGTGCGGTGGTGTAAGACATGCCCTCGAAGCTTCTCGCTGATGTCTGCTTACCTTTCAACACCCAAACAACAACCTCCACTCTGTTCTTTGCAGGGTAGAGCTCCCCTTCCCGAAGACACGGTCCCCAGACTTGCGGAAGCAGCTTGCACAGCAAACAGGGGGCTGAAGCAAAATATCAACTCTGATCAAAACCCTTGGCTCACCCATCAGTAAGCGAAGAGAAAGACAAGCGTGTCTGTCCTCACCGGCTAACGTCCTCAAAGGGAAAAGGGAATTAAGAGACCAAACACCCACCAAAGAAAGTACCAGGGAGGTACCAGACATCTCCGTGAGAGGGCAGAACCCCTCTACTCTTGAGCAGTACTTAAGTCCTGCAGGCATTTTGTAATTGTGATATGAATGGAGGCTGGGGACTGTGTTGCATGTTGATTACACTGACACTTGATGTATGATTGTGAGAGTCTTACTGCTTCTGAATCTTAAGGGAAATACTGAAAACTGGGAGGAGATCTTCAAGATCACTTTTTCCTACATCAGCTTTTCTGTGTCTTTTCAGTTTCTGTTGTGGTATTTTTTTTTGTTTTGGGTTGGGTTGGGGTGGGATTTTTCATAGTGTAAAGTTGAAATGAACATTTAAAGATTTTCGAGCATAAGGTCGTAGAGAATTGAATGTACTCTTTGTGGTTTTATAGTAGAATAGGCTAAAACGTTTATAATAAACTTAGGGCACTGTAGAATATAGGGCATCAGGAAGCTTTGCTTTCTTTTAATTAATTGTTTATGGTCTATAAATAATGTGATATTTCCTGTCGCTCACCCATTTTCAAGAGTCTAATGTCTGATGACAGAGAACAATAAAAGCTACTTGGAATTCCCTCAGGTGAGTGTGCTGTCTTGAAATTCACTTGTCACAGTCATCGCCAAAGAAATAGCCATGCCAAGAGCAGGACTTTGGGAATAAATCTGTGCATTTGGAGTGGGTTTTGTGCAGTGGAAATCAGAGCGACCTGGAAACTAGGCCGATCTCAGAGGCCAGAAGAAGGTGAAGGGGGCTTTTCTGAGCCAAGCTGAGGCCCGAGAGATGCTGCCCCCATCCCCTTCATGAGGGCTCCCAGTCTGAATGGGGCAACAACCTCTGTCCATTCCAGAAACGAGGCCAGGAATTACTACGGGGAACTACATTGCGATCGCTGCCGTGGTTCATGGACCAGCTCGCTCTGGATGCTGGACACCTGTAACGATGAACAGCTTTTTTTAGCTAAACAGCCTAAAAGGAATTTCTTCATTGTGCGTAAACAGTTCAAAGTGCTGTAGGGAGGGATTAGAAAAAACAGCTTTAAATAAATCTTGTTTTCAAATGAAAGGCAAACGGAAGCATAGCTTCCGTTGGTGGTGCGAGAGCAGATGGACCGGGAGGAGCTGTGCGGGCAGAGCGAGCCCTGCCTGCTGCGTTTCGAGGTGCTGCTGGAGAGCCCACTGCAGTCCTTCCGAGCTGAGGTAAGCCTCACTGACATAAACGATCACGCTCCCGGGTTCTTAAAGAAAGAGATAGTTTTAAAGATCTCGGAAAGCGCAATGCCGGAGGCTCGATTTTTGTTGGAAAGCGCTCAGGACCCGGATGTGGGGAACAACAGTCTTCAGTATTACAGTATCAGCTCGAATGACTATTTCAGTATCAACAGCCGGAGGCGGAGTGATGGCAGGAGGTACGCCGAGCTGGTGTTGGAGCGAGCCCTGCACTGGGAGCAGCAGGCAGAAGTGGCTTTCGGTGTCACGGCTGTGGATGGTGGATCTCCACCACGCTCTGGTACAGCCTTAATCCGCGTGATAGTCCTGGATATAAATGACAACACCCGGTATTTAGCTGGCGTGTGTATAAAGTCCGAGTATTGGAAAACAGCTGCCCGGATACCTTAGTGGTGGCGGTGTCTGCTAGAGATTTAGACTCAGGAACGAACGGGGAAATAGCCTATTCCATAGTTCAAAATTCAGAGGAGAATCGCCAGAAGTTTCAAATAAATTCAGAGACGGCAGATTCGACTCAAAAAGCCGGTGGATTATGAAGAAATAAAGACCTACGAGATAGACGTCCAGGCCACAGGCGGAGGGGGCTTGTCCGCGCACTGCAAGATGGAGGTGCGAGTGGAGGATGTGAACGACAACACCCCCGAAGTGATCATCACCTCCCTGTCCAGCACCCTCTCGGAAGCCGCCCCGCCGACCACCGTGGTGGCCCTCTTCAATGTGCGGGACCGGGACTCGGGGGACAACGGCAGGACGAGCTGTGAGCTGCCAGATGAGCAGCACTTCAGCATCAGGCAGCTGGCGGCCGACGTGTATGTGCTGGTGACATCGGAGGCGCTGGACTGGGAGCAGGTGGGGGAGTACAACGTGACGGTGTGGGCTCACGAGGAGGGTTCCCCCGCGCTCTCGTCATCCAAGACTCTGCTCGTGCGGCTCTTGGACACGAACGACAACGCGCCCACCTTCACCCAGGACAGTTACACCATGGTGGTGAGTGAAAACCAGCCGGCGGGGATGAGCCTGGGCTGTCTGACCGCCACGGACACCGATGAGGGAAAAAACACCCATGTGAGATACGCACTGGGGCCACCCCCACCGGACTTGCCCGCTGCGATCTTGTTCGTGGCTGTGGACGCAGAGAGAGGGACCGTGCAAGCGCTGCACCTGCTGGACTACGAGGTGGTGCGCGCCTTCGAGGTGGTGGACCACGCTGCCGATGGGATCTCACCACCGCTCCGTGCCCAGGCAGTGCTGCACGTAGTGGTGCGTGACGAGAATGACAACGCGCCCGTCGTGCTGCACCCACCCCCCGACAGCAGCGCGGCGACAATGTGCGAGCTGGTGCCACGCTGGGCACTGGAGGGCTACCTGGTGGCCAAGGTGGTGGCGGTGGATGCAGACATGGGGCAGAACGCGTGGCTGTCGTACGAGCTGGCCAAGGCACCGGAGCCGGGGCTGTTCCACGTGGGGCTGCACAGCGGCGAGGTGCGCACGGCGCGGGCCATGTCGGAGCGGGACGTGGCGCGGCAGAGGCTTGTCGTGCTGGTGCGAGACCGTGGGCAGCTGCCGCGCTCCGCCACCGCCACCCTGGCCATCACCCTGGTGCATGGCTTCTCCGATGCCATTCACCAGCTCTCCCACACTCCTGAGGGAAGGCAACAGCGGCAGGAGGCTGAGGAGGACAAGCTCACCACCAACCTCATCGCCGCCCTGGTCGGTGTTTCCTCGCTGTTCCTCCTGTCCATCCTCACCTTTACAGCATACAATTTCTGCAGGGCTCGCCTCTGGGTAAGGCTTTCGCCGCCCTCTGCCCGCTGCTACACTGACAGTGACTTTGCCGCCGACAGCGTGGATGTGGCCGGCACAGCGACTTGGCTTACTGCTATGAAGCATGCCTGACCACCGGCTCGGGGAGGAGCGAATTCCAGTTCCTGAGGCCCATCCTGCCCAGCCCGCAAGGCAGCTTTGACGTAGGGGGTGGAAAGGCCAAGGAACGGTTCTGTTGCTCCCAGCCTGCTGGCAAGTGGGAAGCCATCCCGGGGAGCAGAGCCCCTGCTCCTGGTCATGGGTTGGACTGGCCGGCCGGCAGGCACGTCCACGCCTGAGCCCCGCCGGGACCTGCCTATGCTCATCGTCCTCAGCCACAGATTCCCGAGTAGTTGTAGTGCCGTCCTCTGCCGTTAAATGTCTGCTGGCCCCACGGAGGCTCCAGTTTGCTTTTTCCTGCCGGAGGAGGTGGCTTGACAGCAGAGGCAAGCTGACCCTTAGCCGACCGGTCCCGCGGGGGTTATCTCTCAGATTTTCTGCGTTAACCAGTTGACGTGACAGCTGGTCAGTAGTTACTGACCTGTCAGCCTGAGCTCTGCCTGGGCAGCTCAGGGAACAGATCCTTCAGGGAGCTCTGCTGAGGCACCTGGAGGACAGGGAGGTGCTTGGGGACAGCCAGCACGGCTTCACCAAGGGTGAGTCTTGCCTGAGCAACCTAGTGACGTCGTGCGGTGGAGTGACTGCATCAGGGGACAGGGGAAGAGCTACGGAAGTCGCCTACCTGGAGTTCTGCAAGGCATGTGACACGCTGTCCTTGTCTCCAAATGGGAGAGACAGGTGGAATTGCTGGATGTAGTATTGAGGGGATAAGAATTTATCTGTAGCATCGAATGGGGAAGGAATTTAATGCCGAATTTACTGGAGAAGGAATTAAATGGATTATTGAGCAGAGAAGAAGGAATTGGGTGGGCCGCCGGGTTCGAGGAGTGGCCGTCACCGCCTCCGTGTCCCTGTGGAGATCTGTGACGGGTGCTGTCCCTCCGGGGTCGGTCCGGACACTGCTTAACCTCTTCCTCCCCGGAAGGGAGAGCGGGATGGCGCAGAACCTGAGCGCCACGGGGGCTGACAGCAAGCCGAGTGGCGCGCTGGCCGAGCGGCCCGGCGGGCGACGCGTGTCGCGTGTCCTGCCGGCGTGTCCGTGGCGGGGCAGGGCCCGGCCTGCCGGGAGCCCGGCGCGCACGCCTGCCCGCGGGCTCTGGGCAGCGGGGGAGGACGCGGGGCAGCTGCCGGCGCTGCCCGGGCGCTCGGGCTGCAGCGGCGGCCCCGCCGGGCTCTGGGCGCTCCTGCCCTGCGCTTGCCGCCCCGGCGCGGGGTGCGCGCGTCCTGCCGCGGGGCCCCCACGCGTGTGCGCACGGCCGCGCGTGGCGGGGCGAGCCGGCACCGCGGGCAGCGGGCGGCGGGCGCAGTCCCGCCGCGGGCCGCAGGGTGGTGCTGCCGGCCAAGGCGGCGCCGAGCGGCTGCGGGCGGGGAGGCGGCCGAGCCCGGCCCGGCCCTGCCCAGCCCAGCCCAGCCCAGCCCAGCCGGGCGGCGGCGGCGGCGGCGGCAGCGGCGGCGAGCGGTGCCCCGGTCCCCCCCGCTGCAGGGCCACGGCGGCCGCGCTCGGCGGAGGACGGCGCGGGCGCCCCGCGGGACGGAGGCTGCCCGCCGCCCCGTGCGCCATGGCGCCGGCAAGGCAAGTGCTCTGGCTCTCGGCTCTCCTCTGCCTGCCGCCCGCTCGCTGCCAGCCCCTCCGCTACTCCGTAGCCGAGGAGGGCGAGCGCGGCTCCGTGGTAGGCAACGTGGCGGAGGACGCGGGGCTGGCCCCGGCGCAGCTCTCGGCTCGCCGCGCCCGCCTGGCCTCGGAGGACGGCCGGCAGCACTTTCGCTTCGAGCGCGGCACCGGCCGCCTCGTGGTGGCGGAGAGGCTGGACCGGGAGGAGCTGTGCGGGCAGGCCGGGACGTGCACGCTCCCCGTCGAGCTGCTGCTGGCCGACCCGCTGCAGTTCGTGCGGGTCGAGGTGGCCGTGGAGGACGTCAATGACCACTCGCCCGTGTTCCCGGAGGAGCAAGTCACGCTGAGGATCCCCGAAATGAGCAACCCGGGCTCGCGTTTTCAGCTGGAGGAGGCTCAGGACCTGGATGTTGGCAGCAACAGCATCCAGGCTTACAGCATTGCCCCCGAGAATGAATACTTTAGCATCTCCTTTGGAAGTAATAGTGCTGAAGGCAAAGATGTTGAACTAGTCCTGGAAAAGCCGTTAGATCGAGAAGAGCAGGCGGAGATGAGTTTCAGTCTCATTGCCATGGATGGGGGCTCTCCCCCCAGGAGCGGCACCACCCAAATCCATATTGTCGTTCTCGATGTCAATGACAACGTGCCCATCTTCACACAAAAGCTGTATGTTGGGCAGATTTTGGAAAATGCCCCAGAGGGCTCTGTGGTTGTCAGCGTGGTGGCAACCGATCGGGATGCAGGACCTAATGGGGACATCACTTATGAATTCAGCCAAGCAGTGGGGCAGAGCAACTCCGCTTTTGGGATTGACCCT